CCACTTAAAAAACCAGTCTCTTAGACAGAACCAAGGCTGGTGGGGTCACAACGGTCCCACTTAAAAAACCAGTCTCCTAGACAGAACCTACTTACACAGTAATTATTCCCCACTGCCCAAAAAAACTCCTCTGCACACAAGCTTCACCCGTCACTGGTTCCACCGCACGAACAGACCTCTTTAGTATCTTTTCTGATGTGGAAGATCAGACAAAACTGCAACCACAGAGCATACTCAGAATACCAACTAGGCTAACCTCGCTCTGATACCACTTGTTGGGGATTCGACTACACCGAAACTCCGCCCAAGATCTAATGAAAATAATAAAACTGGAGAACACAAAGTTTAACGTGGAAAACCCTCTGTTAACAAAGAGGGAAAAACCACCAGGGCAACAAGGCCGTAGAAAAATCCACTATGTAAATAAAATTACAATCACACAATTTTTCTACACTCACTTATACCCAAATTACCCCACAGAATTTTCTAAGGAATTTTTAACCAGAGATTAATTGTTAACACAATAACTCTGTGGGATGATTTAACATAAGAAGTAGCACCTTCTTAGGGAAAAACTCTCCCCCTCTCTCATCCCATACCGATGTGGGACAAAAGAGCAAAAAACCCAACACGACCGGCACAACCTACCTCTTGTAAGCAAAAACAAAGAAAAACACGAAGCAAAACAAGACAAAAAGACGAACAAATAGAAATAAAAGAAGAAACCACATAACCAACAGAATGGACCAAATTCGTTAAGAAAAACCTACAAATGGGGAAAACAAGAAGAACATAAACTCGAAATAAAGACACAAAAATGGGACAAACAAACACCAACACCCTTACATGTCTCTTTCACAACCATGTGCTGAGGCACCTGAAATGATCTGTCTACTACTTCTATACATATCGAAATTCTTATCAAAAGAAAATATAGGATAAGGTCCAAAAATTTTATAAGTCATTGATATGTTCCTCATTTCTATATTTTTAATTATTCTTTTACATTAAATTTTATGTTTTTAATTATTCTTTTACATTAATGCGAAAACATATGCTAACACGCAGCAGGTATGACATCTTGATGTCCTCCCGGTAAAATCAGACAATTTTTTCTAGGACATAGATTTATCATTTGGACCCTATAATCTTTATGCTAGACATTCTCAAGTATTTCTCACTATACATATTTCTAAACTGTTTTCTTCCAACCAAATCAGAAAACGATCGTTTTATTGTTGACCCAATTTATTGATGCAAACGTTTGTTGGCTTGCCATTTGATTGTGAGAGTGCGAGTGTGCATGTGTATGTGGGGAATTTATAGTACACATCGTTCAAGATTCTCCCTTCACATTATTGTAACTTGAAAACAAGCATCATTAAGTTGGAAAATGATAGTATTTCTAAGATTTAAGTTACCTTCAGCCTTCAGGTTAATTCTTCTCTTCTTTAGATTTTGGCTAGTTGATAATGTTGCATGTTTGACATGTATTTTTGTTGTAAAATTGGGTATATTAATTACAGTTACTTCAATTTCAGGCTTTTTCCATAAAAGGCATGTAAGGAAATCTGTTGGATCCTCTATATCTGCGTGTACATATACTTGCCATAACTGCCTAAGTGGTCAGCCTGTGAAAGCTGATGGAAAGAAGGGGAAATCTCAGTTTTCAAAAATTAAAAATGCATCAAAACGACTGAAATCATTATGTTCAAAGAAAGGCAAAAAGATGGGGAGAGTAAAGGGAAAAGTGACATCTAAAAACCCTAAAGGGGTTCCTTCGGTAGTACCTCTGCGAAGATCTGTGAGGAATGCAGAACGTGTTGCGAAGCTACCTATGCGGAGTACTAAGGTGAAAACACGGAAGAGGCGAAAACAATTTAAATCAGAAAAGGGCTCATCTAAGAAGCCCAAAATTAGTAGTTGTAAGAAGAGGACACCTGTCAGCAGCAGTTACTGGTTGAACGGTCTACAGTTATCAAGAAAGGAAAATGATGAAAGGTTGATGCGTTTCAGGAGTAGGATGCTTCTTGTGCTTCCTGGGGAAGAGACTTTTATACTCGATAATCCAAAATGCAGCCTGTGTGGCGAACTGGAGCATAAATGTGACTTGATTTACGTGGCTTGTGAACTTTGTGGAGGTAACATGTTTTAGTACAGCTCAAATCTATTTCATGACACCCATTGCCATTCTTTTAAGTGTTGAATATGAAAATTTTGCCATGAATTCACTGTTGTAATCGATCTTTTTCTTTAGGAGAAACTAGTGCCGATTATTGTCTCTTATGTTCAGTACATTCTCTTCTTTAAAGTTCATACATGCTTGTTATCTGACACATCCACATAAACTACTATACATCTTGTTCACGAAGTACATTTTGTATATGGAATTTACCTCTGGCGAAAGCAAAAGTGAAAATATTGAAATATGCCTCTCTTTTGATAGGATCTGTTTCTGATTACCTTTCCTTGTTTGCAGTTTGGTTGCATTTTGATGCTTTGAATCCTAGAGCTGGTGAGATTGAAAATATTATTGGCTTCAAGTGCCACTTGTGTCTGCATAAACGGCCTCCTCTCTGCCCTCATCCTTGTTCAATTGAAAATAACAAGGACGGACTAATTACGGAAAACAAGACCGATACTGAAGGCACCAGGGAGAAGTCCAATTGTTTGGCTGAACCCATTGACAGATCACCATGTCAGAAATCTCATTCAGACAGTATTTCTAAGGATGAAGGTGTGTTCGTTAATTTGGAGAAGCAGCCATATAGACTGCCCGAGTAGGACCAGAAAGATAGAAGAAGACTTCATGTGGCGTGGGAAGATTTGACTTGGTAACAATTATAATGAACTTGGTGTTTATTGAGGTGGCACCAAGGACAATTAAAAGTGATTTTATTGTTCCTCTGGGACATAGTCAAGTAGCTGAATGTTCACCCTTAACTCGTAACAATAGTGTGTTTGCTGTAATTGTGCGTTTGCTGTTTGGTGGGGGAGGAAATTGTAGATTAGATTTGAGTCATACCTTTTGTCTTGTACAAGTTATTGTGCTTATAGTACAGATGTAAAACCTTTTTAGGATTCTTGATATATCATCTGAAATTGAAAAGTTCATTTAGATGATTTTCGTTAAATTTAGAGCAAGTAATTTCTGGTTCTTTTCTCTTCAACGATTACAAATCCTTCAATTATCAACTTATTCACTCTGGAAGATGTGTATTTATATTGTGCAAATTAGTTATATGAATATAATACGTTGATTCTTATTTTCTTGCATGTTTGATTTACATTCCAAATTTGATGTTCGAGTTTTTTCAGTGTTGTTGCAACCCACCCTGTCTTTGTTTTCTAGTTTTAAATATAATGAGTGGTTCCAAGTCCTGCAGTTTGGAGTGTGTCCAAAATTACATCTCTTGAATTTTTCGTTGGTAGTTTATTGGTTTTAGACGAGTTGTAAGTTTTCTTCCTAGATTAGCTATAGATTACCCCTCCAGACTTATATGCAAGTTTCCTGAGAGAGTGAGACCTTCTCCTCTTCTTTTATGGACTATTTTTTGTTCTTTGCAAAACAATTCTCACAATTTGGTGACTTAACAGCTAGTGTACAATTTTGGTGCGTAGTAGTGGCTTGAACGTTAGACTCGAAATATTGTGTGGCTAGCTACTTATTGTGTTGGGTTTCTAATAAGTGCATTACAGTGAATTTCTGGTGTGTAAACATGACGATGTTTGCTGGAAGTCAAAGCAATAAATGGAGGCTTGCTACATGAAGTTGGTCAAAGCTAAACCATTATCTGCTCCTTTACATATAAAGAGGTTTGAGTTCTACTACCCTTTTTCCATCTAATTTTGTGTCCTCTAGACTTCTATTATGGGTGATAATGCTTCGAAGATGAACTGTTGTCCTCAAGTTTAACAAATGTGTGTTGCATATCATATTTATTGAAAAGATTTCGAGTAAGCATGTGTATTGAGGTGTTCACAGAACATGAAATTTCGTTTTACGCAAGTTTTTCCCGGGTTATTGATTTTTGTCCAATTAAGTTTGAAAATAACAGGAGAAACAGGTAAAAGCTCTTATGAACCGAAGACATATTGGATTTTTATCTTGAACTTTAACCATCGCTATATTTTCTCAATTGCTATCGGTTAAAGAAACCTCACGCTTGGCATGTTCTGATTGGATTTTGCATATTAAAATCTTGCATGAGTCTCAGTTTATTGTGTACCCAGATATTGTTCAGTGTACTCTTGTGAAGATCCAGTTTTCTGAGTTCTTTGTGCAGCTCTTTGCTTTGGAATTTGGATGACCAGTTTGGTATTCTGAACTATTTTGAGGATCTTTATGTTCGGTTAAGAAATTTGAAGTCGAGTCCTGAAATGTGGAATTTGAAGCAGACCTCGTCTGGTCGGATTCGGAAGGATATAACCTTTCGAATTCTACCCTTGCTATCGCGAAGATCACTACCAACTACGCAAAACGGCGAAAATTCTAGGATAAATTGATTTAGATTGCCTTTAATTTTGAAAAAAAATAGTAAATGTTTTAGTAGGACTTGTAGGGAAAAAAAAAAAAGAAGTGAGATTAAATAAATAGTAATTATTGTGAAAAAAAAAATTTGTTTTATTTTCAATCCAACCTGATAAAATCTTAATTGACCAAAATTAAAAATGAAAATTAATTTAAAAAAAAAAATGTACATAGCAGCCTTCCTATTTGTCTTATTTCTCTATAGCTCACTATATTTAGACTTTACAGCACTGTCTTATCATGCTATAAATGTGGCTTGATGCAATCAAATTAATTTTAGAGTAAATAATCTCCAGCCAAAGCTGACCCAGATCGCCACGTGGAACCTTCTAATCTCATTACCTTTAATTAATTAAATTAATTAAGAGTAGTTATAAAATCTATAAAAATCCAATCTTTGTGGTTATATATATTAACATGCATTGTGTTCACAATCACAAACACAAATCCTTACCAGCAACAAAGAAAAATGGCTGATCAGTTCTTGCAAAACATCATGCATTCTTTCTCTTTACCAGACATTGATCCAAACATCGAATTCTTGAATCAAATTCCCGGCCCGAATCCTTTCTTTAGTAGCCCGATCGGGTTTTCGAGTGACAGCAACTTATTTCCTCAGTTAATATCTGAAGGCCCTGATCAAAACCTGGAAAACTTCCCTGGATTATTTACAATCCCTGATGAAATCACTGCAGTAACTTCTTTTACCGAGCCCGTGAATTCAAACGTCGATCGTAAGGACCTGAAGAGGAAAACACCAGCAACCGACACACCACAAAGCAGTTATGCAAAGAACTCTGCATATACAAAAGTGAGTTTCCTTTTTTTTTTCTAATTCACCTCAATAAATTATTTGATTTGTGACATAACATGGATAATAACCAAGTTTGAGTTTCTTTTCTTTTCTTCTTTTATTTCTTTCCGATATTATTACAGCGTGCTGGAAAACGAAAGAAAGTGAAAGTCGAAAATACCGAAGAAGACGAGAAGCCGAGGGAAGTGGTTCATGTTAGAGCCAAAAGAGGCCAAGCCACTTACAGCCACAGCTTAGCAGAAAGAGTATGTAACAAAACTTTTCTATATAATCCCCGAATTTATTACAAATTTGTTTTTCGACACTTCATATACTAAATCAACGTATAAAACGCAATTTAATATAAATTTCAGGTGAGACGAAGAAAAATCAACGAGCGATTCCGATGTCTGAAAGACATTGTCCCAGGTTGCTACAAGGTATTTACTTTTTCACTCTTTGCCATAATTTGTCTTTGATTTTCTCTTCCTTTTTTTTTTTTTTTTCCTAACAAATATTTTTCAAATTTCGGTTTTGTTCGATGCAGACGATGGGAATGGCAGTAATGCTGGATGAGATTATCAGTTATGTTCAGTCATTGCAAGGTCAAGTAGAGGTAAATATGATGCTACAATCCCGCTATGGAACCATTCTGTCGGGGTTTGTTACCGTTAGATCAACTATTCCCGACGGTTACAAATTCCGCCGGAATGGTTCCGTAACGGGACCGTAGCATTTCCCCTCAACTTGATTTTTTATCTCTTTTTTTTTTTAAATATTTTTCTTTCTCAAATCCAGTTTCTTTCGATGAGGCTCAGCACAGCTACTAGCACTTATTACAACTCCAGTACAGACACAGATGTCATGGCAACAATAATGCAGGTTCGAAAAAATCTAACTCTTAATATTACAAAAACTTTATAAAGATCATAAGCAAAGTGTCACTAAAATATAACTCAAAATAAATAATTAGGGAAAATACTACAATCCGTTGACGGAATGGTTCCGTCAGTAATACCTACCGTAGATATACATGTCTCGATTAGTTTTGTGTAGATAATCTACGATAGAAACTACTGACATGATCATTCCGTCAACGGGACTATAGTCATCTCCAATAATAATTAGACTAATAAAACTCAGGGTAGTTTTTTGAAGTTTTGCTCCGTAATGTTCGATGCACATACTTTGTTTTGCAGAGTAATGTAGCCATACAGGGACTTGATTCGGCTCAATTTGCACAACTGGGCCTCGATTTCAACTATTTTCCTCAGTGACCACACAACACATGAAGAGTTTTCATTGCCACTTTGTGCAACAAATCAAAGAATTATATGTTTATACTAAATTTTTTATACTCTCCAAATTTTACATTAATGTAACCAACTGTTCATATATAGTTAAATGTGTATAATTACTGAAGAGCTGATTTGTTCTTTGTATTTGTTTGTTTGTGTTTATGATTTTTATTCAAGTGGATGTGTTGGAGCTGTTTGTCACAAGGAATTGACTGTTGAACAACAGACACCAAATATACTTTATTTATTTAATATGTATTTTATGATATAATATGGACAACATTTTATTAAATATAATAAATATCCAGAGTAGGGACTAGAGACATATAACAACATGATAACAATGATATGTTTCTTCCCACTCAATTAATTGTCTTATTATTTGAATGGATAACTCAACTTTTTTTTTTCGATATTAATTAAGAATATTAAGTACTAGTACAACTTCGTGTAATACACGGTTGTTTGTTAAAAAAATTATTTTAAAATTTTAAAATTAATCAGAAAATGTGTTTTATAATTTAAATGACTTTTTACAAAAAATATATTATATTATTGGATATTTAGAATGACACCTGTTATTTGTGCAATTTATATGCGATATGTTATAATAATTTTTCTAATTTATATCATATAACTAGTTGAAACATAAATATATTAATTGATAAATAATTTTATTTTTCTAATTAAGATTATTGTTATAAAGAAAAATATAATTTATTTATTTTATAAATACAATATGGATGTCAATTCAATATTTGTCAAGAGATGATTAATCTGATATATTATATATATAAAACTGATAAAAATAAGTAATAAAAAAATAATCTGAGAATAGTGTATTGACACGTGTCCTACAATAAATGCACTTTGGACAAGTGTCAATACACTAAGTCATAGATGGCTCCATAAGAAAACCATCCGATGGCTCCATAGAATTTTTGTCTAATGAATATGGCCAATTCATGTCATGGATGATTAGCAAAAAAAGGGTTTATAAATAGTATTTTTCTCCAACACAACAAGAAAATTCTTACATAAATTATTAAAAACCTAAAACCAAACAAGTAGATGCATTGCATCCACACCAATAGGAACACACATACATCTTGAAAATGGGGCCAAGAGGATGCCTTAAGAAAGAACATAATA